CTTTCCAATGTGTCTCCAGAGCAACTATACCAAGTAGCAACATGGGCGACCGCTAGTTGTCGTTTAATTTGGTATCATTTGTTTCGGAATTAGTCGATTAAAAGGCACTACTGTGACACGCGGGCACAGGCAGATAGTCATTGCCGAGAAGATGAATGAAAATGAATTAACAAGTTAAAACCAATTCGGAGCACACACAGTTTTGGCTGCTATCCTATTCTCCACTGATCCTTATTTCCCCTCGTGCGGTAGAGTCTCGTGCAGACTAAGTTCATTTATTTTTCACCCATTCAATGAAGCTCGAATTGACCGGTTGTCTACTGAATTCGGGAAGCCAGGAGGCCGAGAGTAGCATACCTTTCTCCGAAACAACGTTCACATTGAGATCAACCTCTAGTGCATTGACAGTCAAAACAATCGGCCGAAAAACGTCCTGCAGAAAAAATAGGGTGAGGAGGAAACGTTTCGGGGCCTCAGAGAGAAGGCAAAAAACTAGCAAACGTAGAAGTTTACTGTCTAGCTCTTCCAAAAGAAGACTATTGTACCATGACATAGAGTAGTTTCAGAAACCAAAAAACAATTGGACTCGTGTGTGAATTTTCATAGGCTCGCTGGAACCGTAAAACGTACAAACCTAGCCGTCTGATAGTCATTCAGGAGTCGTCCAAAAGTCGTTTTCATGCGACTGAACAGAGTTTCGAGAAAAAAACACTGTGCGGCTATACTAAGACAGTGCACGCTTCCTTTCTCTGAAGTTCCGTAAAGTTCACACTGGCACTGATTTCTAGGAAAGGTGGGACAGCGTTACAGTGCTTTTTGGTATTCCGAGAGTAGGTGATGACCATCTCAAGATGAGGCAGAAATCCGAACACCTAAATTCGCTCTATTACCCACAGTACTAGTCATACTTTTGAAAAAACTCGACTGGTTTAATCCGATTGCACACCATACATTTTACTAACGGGAATACTATTCTTGCATCGCAAGCGATAGTCACTATCTGGAATATGCTTGAAGGGATGATCGTCCATACACCTTACAATACACAGTAGTAAAGGTAATCAGCTATTCGATGTACATGCTCATATTTTGATAAGTACAAACCTGAAAAGTTTGCATCGACATCAGCCATCCGACAGACATCTTGTAACCCGCGGTAGTTGAGTATGGTAAAGTAAACACGAACCTTCTAGATGGTCGTCATTTTTTCATTCCAGATCTCATTAGTTTCGTTTAGTAAAGAGCACGAAACGGCGAAATGATGCGATTTCGGTTGAAACTATGCTTTCCTGCCGTCAGGAGCCCTAGTTAAAGTTTCAGATCGAAATGAGATAGTGGTTAGCCAGTGCCTCGAATATACAACTTTATAGAGGATAGCAAACTGTATTCTTATTTAGTCTTCAAATTTATAGATTTGGGCTCCACAAGAAAGAATCTGACGTTTAAAGCTGATACAATAATTGGCTCCGTGATTTTCTCCCCCAAACTGTGTAGTTTTCGGTTAAGTCAGAGACCGAATTGGGTGTGTTTTTATGTTTCCTGTTTTCGTAAGAATTATTGATAACTTGATATAATAAGTGCATAGTCAATGATTAAAAACAGGATGATCACACAGTAGAATCTATTTAGCGTAGATTTACCCCCTCTAGAACTAGTTTGAAGAATACTCCTGAGAGTGAATTGTCACCCGCATGCTCTGTAACGCATTCATCTTCCAGTGCGTCCATTTGGGGAACATTTTTGCATGTGAAACACCTCCAATAAAGGATCATCAATCAAGGTGCCGCTCCATAATCTGGTTAGTTATGGTAATTCCGCTGTACAGCTGAAATTGCAAGCTCCCAGATTTGGATGTTTGATCACTGTATGACATTGGTCTTAGTGACTGTGATACGATTCTTGTACAAGGGACAAGACTCGTTCACAACCCATTGTTTTATTGAGCAATGGACTAGTGAACAATAGGCTCAAAATGATGTTTCCTCCCTCACATGAATGACTTGTGACTGTTCACTGTGCGTAACGCTTTGTACGTTGGGCATTGTCCGTTCAGATCTACACCATTCATGTGGAAACTGCAATCATAAAAAAACTTGAGGAAATGTGTCCATGTTTGAAAACAATAAAATATAAGCCAACTTAACGAAAAAACGGTTTTGGATTAGCTGGATTTAAAGCCATTAACTAATTGCACCAACTACAACATATCATATATAATGAAGGTAGGGGTATTGTTATCTAGACGTAACACACTAATCACAAGTATGCTGAAAAACCTCCAACAGCGCAAGACCGGTTTCGTCCTTCCTAGGGCTCATCAGAAGGCTCAGTCCCCAAGGGTCTGTCACCCTTATGTTCTACGTGAACTCAAATTGCACGAAATTCAACAAACACACATTTGCTCACTAATCTGGTTTTCACGGGTGATTCATCTGAATCCCAACAGAATCCCTCGTTTATGGTTGTCTGCTTCAAGCTGAATGCGCTGCATCAGGCCACCTCATTTTTCAGTTGGTAGGATATTCGAGAAATCGCAATGCGTGGTTGCCTCGACTTAACACAAACCACCATAGATGAGGGTTTCAGCTGCATTCGATTTAGTCTCCTATTGTGTGCGAATGATAACACTTGTCAAATCTGTCCAACACGGGTTCAAGTGGAACGTAAGTTCAATGGACATTTGGGGACTGCTCCTACCTGATGAGCCCCAGGAAGGGCGAGATCGTTCATTGGCTGTCCAAGAGCTTCAGCTACCTCATGAGTACTGCGTTATGTCTATACTCCTTGTTTTTTGTGACATAACTTCTATGCGTGTGATTCATGGTCAGAGTCATCCGATTTCTAAGTGCCAGTTATTGTTGATTGCTTGTCTTATGTCAGTCGTCCCACGGACTATTTATTCACTGTGATGCAACATCAACTTAGGCTATTTTCCCGAGTTGTGCAGATCAAATTAACTGCAGCAGCTAACGGCTGATTAGTTAGACAACATGACTTTTGACTAAGAATTGGATTGCCTGAAGCTGTTCTTTCATATTCATTGAATCCATTATGTAACTCCTTTCACATCTTCTATCCCCTTCGATGAACTGTCAGTGAATTTGCCAAAGAAAGGGAACGCGTGGAAAAAAGACGTGCGTTCCTTAAACTGCGCCGTCAACAACAGTCGGATCGGGAATTGAATGGTTACTTGGATTGGATTCAGAAAGCTGGTGGGTGAACTAATAGCCCATACTAATGATCTTCTAATCGTCATCTACCACCGGGTTGGAGAGCTTCCGCAGCTAGGTCGAAGTCACGTAAAACTGGGCTCGGTTTTTTTTAATCTAAGTGTCCATTTGTTTTTAGTACGCTGTTTGTTTGAAAAGAACCAAATTAGCCAAAGACTTATTTATAGAACTGTGTTAGCAATGAATTTAATGTAACAGGATGTCAGACAACAGCGCCATGCTATTTGTCATTACGATCAGGATTATGTTCAGGCTTTGGATTGGGTCCAGAACGCTGGTTGACATTCCACCGATCGACCCAAACTTTGGTACTCAGGCTTCTGATAGATGTTGGAACTTACAGTAGTATGATTCGAGAGTTTGTAGTTTTTTAAACCCCGCTTGGGCGGTTAGATGTAAATTGTAAATGGAAATTAGAATTTCTGCTCAAAACCATCAAGTCATCCATAAGCAGAGTACCGTAGTTTGGTGAACAGGAACAATCTGTAGTGTGACTAGCGGACAGCTTTATGAGATCTTTTCATGTATGAAAAATTGTGACCTAGACTATTCCAAGATGCATTCGCTATACATTAGTAATCGGTCGTTAAATTCATATCAAGGAATCTCATGACCTGGGGCAGGGTGAATTTATCTTGCAATCAATTGATCCTCAGATCAGGTTTGATTGCATAGTTGAATAACTTGGCCATTTCCACAGCTAAGCTCACTCAGTGGACCTTGGGTGTCTTAGTTAAACATCTGCGATTTCGAGAATTACCTTTCCAGGAGCTTGTGATTTCTTGATGTCATTCATGAACATGTGTACGTTTAAACCCGCATAGCTATTGACCTGTCAACAAAGGGCGAAAGATGCTACAAAAAGTTTCTGTGCTTTTGGGGCTGCGCACTTTTTGAGATTAGACCTACTTGACTCATCCTGCACCTGGCTAATAACCTCGGAGGATGTGGTGGATAACCACTTTCACCAGCTTACATCACGAATATGCATGAAAATAAACAAAGTGGATGTTACCACAGTGCCTTATTTAAGCAGATCAAAATAGTTGCACGACAATTAAAGTTCGCTTTTTCAAGCTGGTATCGTGGTGACCATCTGTCACATACAATGCCATTTATGAGAGTACCTATGCGTATTGCACTGGACCCCGAACCTGTTCTTTTTCTCTGACAAATAAAAACCTCATTTTACAATGAAAAATCGCTCTGTTCACCCAAAGTATTAAACACTTGTTGAGGTTACTTTCATCGTGGTCGGGTTTCATTCAAGAAAGCTCATGGCTTACAAGAAATTTTATTTCAGTCTAACCCCGTTTTTGATCTCATAATTGCCAACCCAACGTACTCGACCCATAGAAATAAGCTAGTTTAAAAAAAACAATTTGAGATCCATTATAACAGCGCGCAGTTAGGAACGGGGCTCCAATCAAATCAGCTGGCAGTCCAGGAAAATTTGTTGACAGATTGATTCAAAACAGTCAAAGGTTTTTGGACATGTACTCGACCGTCATTATCAAGAGATCATCCAATCAAAACCGGGTAATGCATTCCACTTATCTGACGTGCTAGAAAAGTAATGTTTCACGCCGATTAATCACCATATACGGGACAAACCCGAACTAACTCAACTGTTCCGGCAGGCTGGTTAGCAATGCTTTGTGTGAATGAATACAAATTGCACTGATCATCTTCATTTACATTCAAGTTCCATTTCTCAACGCTCCTAATGGCTGGTTCAAGCTATGTTTTCCCTAATTTCCACGTTTTTAGAGGAGAAGTGATTTTGGCAGAAGAACAAACTTCCTTCGCGGAAAAACTTCGCATCGTAAAAGGTAAGTCATCTTCTTGGGTCTGTCGTCAAACAATTTTGAGCTCAATCTAGGTCGAACGTCATCCGACAAGTACTTGCAGCTTGTGACCGATTCACAGAGTCATCAACTTACATGGACTAATCCCGAGTCCGTGATAGGAACATTCGACTCCTATGCAATAAGCAATATTTTCTGACGTCATTTTTCGCTCACAACCATCTTAACTATTCATCCATGAATTTAGAAACCGTAAAGTATTAAGTTATGTTGATTTTGGCAATGGTTTGAGTTTGCTTTGTTCACCGGGAATCATTCAGGCAAACTGACTACGGAAAGACTGATTAACGATAAATAGGATGTTCAACGAAGTGTGAAACCGTTGGAATGCCCAAGTATGACGGAAAGGCACAAACCAACGCACAGCAGAATAAGGACAATGAAGGAATAGTACACAAGAATACAAAAAATATATACGAGCGAGCACATACCCTTAAAACTCGGTAATGGAATAACGTCGTGCTAGCGCCTGGGTATTTCGACCAATCTGTGTATTTGCTGTTTCAATGTGGGCTGAGTGGAAAGTGATTGAGCTAGGACGGGTACTTTCATCCTCTTCGTAAGAATGAATAGTGCCCAGCTATATTGTCTGTGATAGGCTGTCAGAAGTCAATGACAGCTACTTCTAATTTGCCTTCCGGCCTAGGTTGTTTGGTACGAGGTTCAAAGCATAACAACCGTTTAAACGAAGTCAGACAAATTTCTAAATCTGGCATCGTATACATTCACTATTTAACTGATCACCTCAACGACCGACCCTAAAATATCCACTTTTAAACACAAGTGCACACATGTCCAGGTGCTTTATCCAAAGGGCAGTTTCACTGTGCTGTCGATTTTTATTCATTTGTATTCATTTCTGATGACAGAACGTAATCAGAAACAATACACCTGCTTATCCCTTTTGCAAACTGAGCAAAAGGCCAGTAGTGTACACTGCCTAACTTCTCGCCCATGATGGGAGAGATAGATTGGTGGCTTTGTTGCAGTATCAGAAAATTTAGGCTGGCGAGAGAGAAACTTTGGCTTGGATTGTTTTTATCAGAACCATTGACAGGCGGTGCTTTGAAGTTCATGCACCACGGCGGAAGTAGCCTCACATTTCGGGACAATACAAAACCAGGCATGAACCAGACTACTGACTGCCGATCGCTCCGTTATTTCTTGCTTTGTTTACCCATGGTAAAACATAGAAACTTCCTTTTTCAACAACAACAAGCACGCAAACGGGCCGAAAAACTTCGTCGGCGGTCCAACGATGCTGAGAAGCAGCAGGTTGCCAGTGAACTCGAAAGCTTTGAAGCAGGTAAATACCATTTCTAATTTTTAAAGAACATTTGAGACAAACAATGGTTCGATACACTGTAACATTTCACAAGGTGCCGACTTTCTGAATCTGACCGTAGAGAAAACCATCTTTCTGCATGTTTACGTGAGAAACCGGTGAATTTGCGGGTAATTTCGTGGCAGTTTCATCCCTATATACTCCAATCTCGTTTACCATGCTCTCTGTTCAGTAGGTGCATATCTGATAGCACAGAGGGTGCTGAATTAACCTCACTGTATTCCTCAAGTTGTCACTATTCTAAACGGATCCATGGCTTTCGTAGGCATTGATAAAATTTCCACTCAACGAGACCCTATTGGTCGATACACTGTAACATTTCACAAGGTGCCGACTTTCTGAATCTGACCGTAGAGAAAACCATCTTTCTGCATGTTTACGTGAGAAACCGGTGAATTTGCGGGTAATTTCGTGGCAGTTTCATCCCTATATACTCCAATCTCGTTTACCATGCTCTCTGTTCAGTAGGTGCATATCTGATAGCACAGAGGGTGCTGAATTAACCTCACTGTACGGCGATCTACAAATATTTATCGAATTCAGGCCGGACAAGCTAGTGCTTCACGTTTTATCCTGCATTGATACTCAACTGCAGTAATGCATAGTTATCAGACACTCTGCTTTCCGGAACCTCTATGCAATTCATCCATTCAACAATTTGTCTTCTCTGGGTTCCACTTTTCTCGCCATGTTTAGCTTAATTGCTAGAGGACATATCCGATTCATGCTTGGGTATGTATGGAAGTGCTTAATCGCTGATCCAGCCGTTTGCATAGTTTCTCTTACAACCTTACAATCATAATTTCGGGACACATTTTTTACTAAACGTCGTCAGTATTTACCCACCTTATACTAGGTAAAGACGATACCAGTTCATGCCAAGAAAATAGACTTGAATGTGTTAGAGTATGGTGCCTCTATTAACATCATCAGCATTTTACAATATAGAGCTGCCAGAGGAGTACCCTATAACACGCAAGTTTGTCTTTTCACTCTTCTTCTGATGACAACGTAATAAGCTGAATCCGAGTTTAAATCGAAGTACCTGTAGAAGCTATCCGAGGACTGGACCACAAATATGGGCCCTCAAAGGGTGCTTTTGCTTCAAAAAATCTCAGCATTTGACAGTTGGTGGCTTTTCGGGAGCTCACATTACCGTTATTCGATGAAGCATACTTGTGTTTTTATCCCTGGTTGTGACCTCTTTCCAGGAACAGTGTTTAGAATTTGGAAATTACCACAGCATAGCGATAACCCACCGAAACTATCCGGGCCAGTGTGGTATTAGAGCAGATTCAGAAGGCTATCAATCAACCACAGCGATGCACATTTTGGCTGATGAGACTCATATTGCTGGTTGTAAGCCTGTTTGTGTTGCGGGCATTTGATCAAGGCCTAGTGACTGGCGCCTACTGGATTTGACGTAAGCTGGTCACAACAATGATCTGCAATTGAACCATGCCTGGCAGTTCGTCTACAAGTCGTGTACTTTCCATCCCGCCCACTTTAGCAGTTGCAACAGTAAACAACAGGTCATACGTTATGCGAAGAACAGGATGATATCTCACCCTCAAACTCGGGAATTTTGTGAAGGTTTCATTGCGTCAATTGTCGTATTCCAGCAGTGTCTATTTGATTCCCTTAAGAAACGCATGTAGATCTTAGAACATCATCGATTGAGAGCAGGCAATCTTGTTGTGCTTCAGACTATATACACTTCTCACTCGACCGGATTGTATTCCCTGCTCCTTAGGTTGGGGGAACTGACACTTTGTGGCCATGCGTCTTACCATACAGAAGGCGAGTTAGTCACGCTACTGATCAGCGCTCGTCGCCAAACGGTCAGGTATTCACACTTTGGCCGAATGGTCACGGGTTCGAAACTTTGTATTTTTGTGAGATTCTTACTGCTGCTGCTTCCCAATAAGGATTGAGTAGTTGTACAATGTCTCTCGGCATTTCGCAATAAATCTAATTTACTTACACGACAAAATTTCAGTTAAAAACATTGACAAGAAGTTTGTTTGACGATCCTAATACTGCTTGGAATTTTGCATAACATTTTATGGGTTGTAAAATAAAGTCATCAGCCTCGTACTGGGTCGGGCTTCACATTAAGCGCTATAAGATAGTAGGAAACAATGTGAATATCTCGAGGATACAATGATTTAGACATCACGAAGCGCTGTTATCAATTTTGCAACAACGCTTTGGAGTAGAGTCCAACCATGTCTCTGGTCAAAACGCATACAAACGTAAATGTGGATGTAGCATATATTTCCATGGATCTGTTTAAAATTTCAACGTCCCAGGGTTGCTTCTCCTTTTCACATCGTAGGTTTTCTGGACAGTAAGATTATGGCGTACTAATGGTGTCATCCAACCTGGTAATAGAATCTTTGCAGAATGATGTCCAACCCAATGAATATCTGTCATTCTGTCGCAGTTGTGCACTAAGCGTAAATGACTGATTGGTCTCTCAGTATGATCGGTCATTCCTCTAACGGCCATTCATATTGTTTTGTACTGCCTGGTCAGCTCAGTAATAAATATGAATGGCCGTTAGAGGAATGACCGATCATACTGAGAGACCAATCAGTCATTTACGCTTAGTGCACAACTGCGACAGAATGACAGATATTCATTGGGTTGGACATCATTCTGCAAAGATTCTATTACCAGGTTGGATGACACCATTAGTACGCCATAATCTTACTGTCCAGAAAACCTACGATGTGAAAAGGAGAAGCAACCCTGGGACGTTGAAATTTTAAACAGATCCATGGAAATATATGCTACATCCACATTTACGTTTGTATGCGTTTTGACCAGAGACATGGTTGGACTCTACTCCAAAGCGTTGTTGCAAAATTGATAACAGCGCTTCGTGATGTCTAAATCATTGTATCCTCGAGATATTCACATTGTTTCCTACTATCTTATAGCGCTTAATGTGAAGCCCGACCCAGTACGAGGCTGATGACTTTATTTTACAACCCATAAAATGTTATGCAAAATTCCAAGCAGTATTAGGATCGTCAAACAAACTTCTTGTCAATGTTTTTAACTGAAATTTTGTCGTGTAAGTAAATTAGATTTATTGCGAAAAGCCGAGAGACATTGTACAACTACTCAATCCTTATTGGGAAGCAGCAGCAGTAAGAATCTCATAAAAATACAAAGTTTCGAACCCGTGACCATTCGGCCAAAGTGTGAATACCTGACCGTTTGGCGACGAGCGCTGATCAGTAGCGTGACTAACTCGTATTTAGACAGGATATAGTACTACTCACACTTTAATAGCGTAAGCCACATCGCGTGGCTGCGTCGACATTGGTGAGAGTCAGTCAATCAGTAACTACTCGGCGTGATTCACTTGATCCAAGAACGAGTGGCGCTAAACCTCGAATACCAGAGCAGAGGCAGAACCAGTTGGTGTGGTGTCGGGTGAGCTACAAATGGTTTCACATCATGCAGTTTGTGTGTTGGTAACCATTTGGCCGACATCTTGTATACACCGAAATCCCCAGTGATGCGCGGTGATGTTCTACCCATATGACCCTATCCTGCGTCAACCAATCCGAGGGTATCGAGTTTTCAGCTGCCCTGCCAGGCATGGTTCAACTGCAGATCATTGTTGTGACCAGCTCACGTCAAATCCAGTCAATGGGCCTTGATCAAATGCCCGCAACACAAACAGGCTTACAACCAGAAGTATGAGTCTCATCAGCCAAAATGTGCATCGCTGTGGTTGATTGATAGCCTTGTAGAATGTGCTCTAATACCACAGTTTCGGTGGGTTATCGCTATGCTGTGGTAATTTCCAAATTCTAAACACTGTTCCTGGAAAGAGGTCACAACCAGGGATAAAAACACAAGTATGCTTCATCGAATAACGGTAATGTGAGCTCCCGAAAAGCCACCAACTGTCAAATGCTGAGATTTTTTGAAGCACCCTTTAAGGGCCCATATTTGTGGTCCAACCCTCGGATAGCTTCCACAAGTACTTCGATTTAAACTCGGGTTCAGCTTATTACGTTGTCATCAGAAGAGTGAAAAGACAAACTTGCGTGTCATAGAGTAGTTCTCTGGCAGTGCTATATTGTAAAATGCTGATGATGTTATTAGAGGCACCATACTGTAACACATTCAAGTCTATTTTCTTGGCATGAACTGGTATCGTCTTTACCTAGTATAAGGTGGGTAAATACTGACTGCGTTTAGTAAAAAATGTGTCACGAAATTATGATTGTAAGGTTGTAAGAGAAACTATGCAAACGGCTGGATCAGCGATTAAGCACTTCCATACATACCCAAGCATGAATCGGATATGTCCTCTAGCAATTAAGCTAAACATGGCGAGAAAAGTGGAACCCAGAGAAGACAAATTGTTGAATGGATGAATTGCATAGAGGTTCCGGAAAGCAGAGTGTCTGATAACTATGCATTACTGCAGTTGAGTATCAATGCAGGATAAAACGTGAAGCACTAGCTTGTCCGGCCTGAATTCGATAAATATTTGTAGATCGCCGTCGGGTCGTCGACGTCATTCAGATGGATTCTTCCTGACCAATTTGCATACTTACCGAAATTGGACGCGTATTTACGTTGATGTAGTTTTCCGTCCAGCATCATTCCCAGTTAATTACGTTGGTCCACTTGAATAGAGAGGAGCGGAACTATTGTTTTTTTTCTGACTAGTTACGGTCAACCCACGCACTCTTCATCCCAGACAAAACCTCATGCTCAGTGTTGGATCCGGTTAATACGAGATTACGAGAAAAATCAAGTAAAGCGCTGTCTTCCAAAGCTACATTGTATTTTAGCTATCAAGTAAAATTCGGAATAGATAAACACTTCCTTTTGGCGGGTCTACCGGATTGCAGGATCCACAAGCTGATGCTTTGTACAAAAAAGTACAAAACGCTGACTTAGTTGCAACAGGTGGAAATTCCGAACCG